TGTCTAGACAATACCTGGAAAAAAGTCCAGGTGAATGTGGCAATGCCACCTCAAAGACATAAGCCACGAAAGACAACTGATGGGATGGCACCACTGAAGTGAAAATCTGTTCTGTAAAGGATGCTGTGAGCAGTTGATGATGTAGCTGAGCTGATACAGGACTTGCCCAGCAATCACGAAGCCCTAACACATTGGCCTGGTGTGGTGACACAGCCTGCAATCTCGGTACTAGGGAAGTCGAAGCAGGAGATCAGAAATCAAGGTGATCCTTGGCTACATCACTAGTCCAAATCCAGCCTGGAACACACAACAGCCAGTCACAAAAGAAAAAAAAAAAGATGTTGTGAATAGAATGAAAATACAAGCCACCAACTAGAGGAAAACATTGGCAAAGAGTTAAAATACAGGACATGGAAAGAGCCCTCATCACTCAGCAATCAGAAAACAAACAACCCAACCAGAAATTGGGCTGAAGCTGTAGAGAGATCTAATGAGGAAAGATGCAGGTAAAAATGTGCATGAAATGACATTACACATCAAGTGTCATTGGAGGACTGCAAATTAAAACACACCAGCAAGAGGGCTCAGTGGGCAGTGGTGCTTTTCACCAAGCCTAAAGACCTGAGTTCAGTATTAAGGAATCCACATCATAGAGAAAGTAATCAGATACCAAAGGTTGTCCTCTTGTTCTCTGACCTCTAAATGTCCACTGTGGTATATGAATACACATTCTCTCTCTATCTCTCTATCTATCTGTCTATCTCTAACACACACACACACACACACACACACACACACACAACCACAAAATGCAACAGGATTGTTGTATTAAAATGGACAAAACCCTGAACACCAACATCATCAATAATGGCAAGGAAGAGAGCAACTGAAATGTTCATCCATGAGGGAGTGCAAAATGTTCCAGCCACTGAAGCAGAAGGTGGCAGCATTTTCAAAACTGAACACACTCTTCACCACCCCCTCCCCAATCCACCACCCATCTCACTCCAAGGTTTGAACTGAAGTGGTACATCCATGAGGAAACCTCACACAAATGCTCATGGCTGCCATCATCTCAAACTGGGAGGATCAAAATGCCTTTCTGCAAGGGAATCACCAGATGAGATGCACTGCCACATCCAGACATAGAATGTGTGTCAGCAACCAGAGCAATTGGTCAGAGCAGATGGTGGGATGGGGGCTCAGTTCAAGCACCAGAGGCCATCCTGCTGGTTGTATCTGCACTGCTGTGCTTGAAGAGTGGGAAGCATGGAACACACATGTTCTCCCACCTCAACTTCCAGGCTCTGCCATCATAGTACAGTCAGGTAGGGGTAACCAAATGAGGGAAGCTGGAATAAATTTGGCTGACTCCCTTTTCCATACCAGGAATTCAACTTCCTGAGACTGTTACTCACCTTTATTTTTATGCTATTTGTTAACATTTTGAGACCAAGTCACATGTAGCTGAGACTGTCCTTAAACTTGATAAGAAGTTGAGGGTGACCTTGAGATACTAATCATTCTGCCTTCTATCCCCTCATGAGTTCTTAGATTCACAATGACAATGTTTTGTTTTGTTTTTTCATCTCTGGTGTGAACCTATGAGCACAGCCTGGGGGAAGGAGGTAGGACACCACTAAAAGCCAGGAGAAATCTCAGGAACAGCACAGTGCATCCCTGTGGAGACAAGGTGGTTCTTCTCAAAATGGAGCTGGGAGTTTGTATGGAGTTTGCAGAAACAGGAAAGAGGAAGGCACCAGGAAGCTCCCAACAGGAAGGAGCAGTGGACTGTCTCTATCTTAATAATCAGATCTGTGCCTTACTTTACCCGTTGCCTTGAAGACTCCCAACTCTTAGATTCCGGCACCAAATATCCCAACCCTGAGTGGAAATGAAGACAGGGTGGTACAGTCTCTAGAGGCCCCTAGAGACTGTGGAGATCTTCAAGGATCCTAGAAAGAAGCAACTCAAGGAATGACTCTGACCACTGGAGGAAGAATGTCCTGCAGGGACCAAGGTACACACAGCACAGCCAGGAAGCCACAGTCAAGCATCCAGGCAAATATGACACTGGCATAGAACAAACTGGTAGAGTGGGGATAGGGTGGGCCAGGCTGGCAAGATTGGTGAACTGTTTGGAGGTGGTGGCAGAGGGAAGTCATCAATGAGCTGGAGCATGAGAAAGTGTCCTGTCCTGAACTGGGAACCAAGGAAAGGATCCAGAACAGTGGATGGGAGTGTTGAAGAACAGGAACTAACAGGGTCAGGGATCTTTAGGGCCTGAGAAGATAGACACAGGCATCCTGAAGGGATATGACCAGAGCTGACCTTCAACACATGGTGTCAAGGAGTCAGCCTTTGGATATGGGCAAAGCAGAGTTCAGAATAATATCCTTGGCTCAGGAGGTCTCATTGTGAAGCAAGAAAACCCAGCAAAGAGATGAGATCCAAGACAGGACAGCCAAGATTGGCAGCCCTGCCCTTAGGCAAAGCTCCTGTCTGGACCCACCAGCAAAGAGCAGAGGCTGAGCACCCACAAAGGCACCATCAGCAGAGACCTGCCCAAGCTCCCTTGCCCATTCCATTGTCCTGTTCCAGAGACCCCTTAGTGGGACAACAGCAAATGGCCCTGAAAGTTCCACCTTCCTTCTGTGAAAGCACAAACAGCCCATGAGAAGTGCTCTGAGGAAAGAAGGTTCCAGATAGAGACACATGTTCAAAGCCATCTGTGTGGGTCAGCATTTTAGAAAAACCGCATAAAAACATCCACCAGGAAACCAGAGAACACTCATCCAGGATGGCACTCAGGGCTGAAGTGAGCATCATGGCTGAGGCCACTGGCTACGGACACTGAAAGATTGGGCCACTGTGTGTCCCAAAGCCTCCACAGCTTGGCTGCCAACAGGAGCCTTGGGGGCTGAAGAGAGGTTAGTCACCAGACTCTGCTTTCCTGCCAGGGCTGATCTCAAGTCTCTCCCATGAGTAAGGCTGGATTCATTTTTAATTGGAGAGAAACTTTCCCCTCCCCAGGATTGTTCTTGTATGAACGATGTGTCAGCATCGACAGAAAAGCACAGAATTTCTTATGCATGAAGCATTACATATGAGCCAGGGCTAAGGAGACCATTTCCTAGTCTATAGGTACTAGCAGACCAGGCTTCCCTGCAGTCTACAGGTACTAGCAGGAACTGTACCAGGACTACTGGTAGAGGCTGTGACACGCTCTCTGAGCACAGCCTGCTCTCCCACAGCTCATGCTTGCCCCTCAATCATCTCCCACTCCCCTCCTTTTGGCTCCCTGATGCTACATGGGAAGGAAACAGCTGATCCATAGGTGTCCTGAGTCAGAAAAATGACAGACACCCAGAAATTAGAGACGTCAGACATCAAAGGGCAAATCTCCCCAACCTCAAGGGAATACAACTTTCCTTCACTCCTCTCCCACGGTCTCTAGATGCCTCCTTACTTCCCCACAGTGCATGATCTCCCTGACATAAAGTTGGCTTCCTTGATTTTCTGGGTTGACTGAAATTCCCATCTCCCTTTCTTAACTACCATAATCTCTGAGGTTAAATGACTCTCCTGACCTCAAGGTATCCTGTCTGTACCCTGTATCTTACCATTTCGCTAACACTTCAGAAAGTGGCCAGAATTCAGGAAATTTACCAACCACAAAAGAGAAGGTAAGACACTATGATCTACTTTGAGTGCTGTTGGAGAATAGTCTCAGTGTCTCACAAGCACACAAAGAATTGAAATTGACCTATCCTGGCAGAGTACTCCTGCACACAGAGAATAAGGACACCAGGTAGGAACTTCACTTGTTTTTGTGATAGCTTAGGTCATGACTCGGCCTTATCCCATTGGTGGGAGCCAGACCTCAGATGAAATGATTAGCTAATTCATAATTGCTCAGAAAGAGAAGGCTGGGATAGGAAGTCAAGTCCAGGGCTTGCCAGACAGCACACACAGATTGTCAAGATGTGGGAGGTTTATGGAATATTGGCCATTGGGGTTTATAGAGGAAAAAAACTCTATCCAGATGTTGTGAAAGGCAGAGGAAGGTGAATTTATACAAGTTTGAGGCTATCCTGTTCTAGCAGCAAAGTCCAGGCCAGATATATATATAGAGAGATCCTGTTACCGAAAAATAAAATAAAATAAAGTAAACTTATAATAATGTGAGAATTAGAAAACTATCCATAGACGCAGAAGACTTTGGGAACCAGAAACCATTTTGGAAAAAGATCAATGAGGTTTTAAGAAAATTATGAACATCAAAGGTAAATGGGGTTGCATGTGTTTAACCCCAGAATTCTGGAGGTAGAGGCAGGAGGATCAGGAGTTCAAGACCATCCTTGACCACATAATAAGGCTGTAACCAGCTAGAGCTACTAGAGATTCTGCCACAGTAAAAAGCAAGCAACAATACCTACCACCACCACCCCAAAAATATAAAATTTGAGGGTGGGAACTGAGTCTAATCCCAACACTGAAAAGCCAAAGAAACAAGCTTATTATATTGGAAATTTCAAATGGAACTTAGACTACAAAAATAACACAGTGGAACTAACATTCAGAAAGCTGAGTCATGTGTCTCTAGGAGAGAGCCCTGACTTCAGTCCTGACTAGCATCCATAAGGCCCTGGGTTCATTACCAAGTACCAAAAAAAAAAAAAAAAAAAAAAAAAAACCAACCAAACAAACAAACAAAAAGAAAAACTTCCCAAATCAATTTATTTCCAGGATGCATAACTACATAACTAGCTAATTCCCAAATGAAACAAAAATGAGCAGAGGTTATGGTCACAGGGAACTGATTGGCCAGTTGGGTTGAACAGGAGCTAAGAACCATTGAGGCCAGCAGGCTGTGAGTCTCCGAGCCTTTATGCCCATTGCTAATGGCACTGGCCATCTTCAAACTGCCTAGCAGAGGAAGGGACAAGCTGACTGAGGATACCCAGGCCCTCCGGTAACTGCATGACAGAGTTTCTCCGGTGTTCTGGAAGCTCCTGATGCCATCTCACTGAATAGGAGCACAGGGACACAGTGGGAGCTGAAGGTGGCCGTCACTCTGGGGGCTCAGCGTGTGGTAAACCAAGTGGCTGGTACCAGGGCTGCTGGAGTCTCAGGAGGGGTAGAGGGTGACCCTTCAGTAATGTCTCTCAAATCCTTCCAGTTCCTGGAGTGCCCCTGGATATAGGTCTGGCCTTTCCATAGGAACTCAGCTATCGGTTCCTGATTGCCTGATGGTTCTTGGGTACAGCCACGTATCTCAGCTTCTTCATGATGGAGGGCCAGCCCAGCAGCTGCTGGTCCCACATGTACTCTGGGGACAGCACCTTTGTTGGCTTGTGGTGTAGCAGGTACTTGTTCAGATGGCTCTCATCATGCCACACAGCCTCGATGCCATTGGCCTTGTCCTCCATCATAGCCTGATGACAGGCCTTGGTGAGATGGTACACCTCTACCACTGACCCCCCAAAGAAGGCCCCCATGTAGTAAAAGTCACCCTCATCCCAGGGGATGTAGGCCTGGGACTTTGGCCTGCGCTCATAGGTAAAGGCCTCTCGGCTGGCTCTGTAGAAGCCAGGGTGCAGGGTACCGAAGAGTGCTGAGAGAATCTCCACACCCACGTGGTCACTGAACTTCATGTCCACATCTGCGCACACCAGGTAATCCACCTCATGCAGAAAGCGCTGCTCTGAGAAGCGGCTGATCATTTCCATCCTGTGCATGGACACATCCTGCCAGCGGCTGTAGTTGCGCACGGTTAGCACCACCAGCTTCCGTCCTGCTCCCAGGGGCACCTGCGGCACATCGGCTGGACGGTCAGTGAAGACATAGTAGATGACCTTGTGTCCCACCATGAAGTGCTGCTCTGCAGTCTCCAGGAACAGCTTCAGGAACACCACGTACCTGTGAGGGAGGACAGAGTGGTATGGAGAGATTTAACACAGCTAGGTAAAGACTAAGCAGGGCAGAAACTAACCTGCAGAAACCACAGCTACTCAGAGGCTTGAAGCAGCAGCAGCCTGAAGATGGAGGTTTCTGACCCACCTGGTCCCACAGCCACTTTGTCCCAAATAAACACACAGAGACATTTTAATTATTAAACTGTTGGCCAATGGCTCAGGCTTCTTATTGACTAGCTCTGTTCTAATTATTAATCCATTTCCATTAATCTGTTTATTTCCACATGGTCTTATCTTACCAGAGAAGGGTCCAGACTGGTTACTCCTTCCTCTGCTACATGGCGTCTATTGGCTGCCTCTCTCTGCCTTCCTCTCCCCAGCCTTCTCCTGGTCCTGTAGTCCCGCCTGTCCTGCCTGCCTGGCTACTGGTCAAACAGTGTTTTACTCATCAACCAGTAAGAGAAATGACAGTCCACACCCCACACCCTTGCATTGACCTGAGCAGAGCCTGTGCTCCCAGGACCCACATTCTAAGCCCTGGTGGAACTAGATGGATTTTTAAGTGCCTGGTACCTGCATCCCTCCCTTGTGTCACTCTCGAGGACCCTCTCTCAGGGAAGGAAGGGCTCTCTGTATCCCAGACCATCCTCATCAGAGGTTTGAAGGTGCCTGAACAAGGCAGGCAGTTACTCATTATGTCCCACATTCACTCCAACAGAGGAAGAAACAGTCTCACAGCGTAGGAAAGAAAGGGGTGACAGACACCCTAGAAAAAGGGGCAAGCCTAAGCCAAACCCTCAGGTCCGAGAGCAAAGGGCTTCTAACCCAGGTTCTATGTCATCTCCCAACCTAAGAAGTGTTCACCTGATTCAGATGGCTTCTTCCCCCTTGATAACCCCCAGGACCATGTGTTAACAGGGATCCATCCCCATCACCTGGCCAGTGTACCAAGCCCTCCCCTCTTCAAGGACAGAAACAGGCAAGTGTCTGTGTTCCCTGTGTAAAGGTGACCATAGGGCTCCCAGCTCATTCCCTCAGGGGCCTTCTTCCCAACAAGCACCTACACACACCTGGAGGGCTCTTGCTCATGTACCGACAGCACCCACACAAGGTTGTGTTTGTGCCTTGTTACTGAGAAGTCCTTTTCCCCTAGGAGCTACAGGCATTCTCAAGGTGCCCAAGATCCCTCAGCTGAGCCCCAAACCTCTCCCAAGACTGATTGGTATGAAAGACTCAGAGCTATCATTGGATCTCACCCAGCACTGCAGGGAAGGATAAAGCCCCTCCCTTCTTATATGCAGGCAGCACAAATGGCTTTCTCAGCCCCCCACAGCCTTACACACTGTACTACTGCCCTGTCCTGCTCCCCACAGGCTCCCACAAGTGTTTCAGGGCTTCACAGGTCTTCTACTCACCACCCCAGGGCTGAGGTTAAATGTTTCACCCAACCCTTGCTGTCCAATTAGTCCAGCATCTGAGGACACATTCGTGGTCATAGCTCTGCTTGCAATCTGTCCCTTGCTGCCAGCCCTGGGGATGAGGACAGCCACCTAAAGTGTGTGCTGAGGGATGCAAATGGCACCTGACTAAGAGCACAGAGGGAGGGGCAGCTGGCCTGGGGTTCTAGAAGGAGGCAGAGCTGGGTTCACTCACCTGCGAGCCCATGAGACCTCAGGAAGGTGTCAGAGTGAACCAGCAGCAACCACACTGCATACTAAATACAAGAATGGAGCATGGTCTGCCTGGTGTCCGTGTGTGTGTGTGTGTGTGTGTGTGTGTGTGTGTGTGTGTGTGTGTGTACACCCATTGTATGTATTCAAGTTTACTTCCTGTGTGCCTGTGTGGAAACCAGAAGTTGACTTTGGGTGTCTTCTTGTGGCATTCACCTTTTTTGTTCTTCAGACAGGGTCCCTTCTCTGACTCTACAGCTCACTGTTTGGCTAAGCCATGCAGAAAGCTGCCTGATCCATTGTCTCTCCCCTCCACCCACAGTTCTGGAACTAAGGGGTGTGCCACCATGCCCACCTTTACATGAGTGTCCGGGATCAAATCAGGTCCTCCTGCCCCTGAAGAAAGTGCTTTACACACTAGCCATGGCCAGCACCCACTGCTTACTTTTTGATGGCAAACACGGTCAGTCCAACTGTGATGTTCTGAAGCCTGAACTGCTCATTCAGAATGTCGATGTTGAAGGTTCCTTCCCAGATGATGGGAGCCAGCCAAGGAGTCAAGACAAGAACATCTTTCCTACTGCATGGGGAGAGGGCCACAGGCAACATGTGACCAAACATGCCTGCAGGAACCTGCTCAGATTCCATACCTTCAGCTTCCCCCAGGGCTGCCCACCCTCCCTGAGGGAGCCTGAGGCACTCAGCATCAGCTCTCACTGGTTATGCCCACCCCACTCTACCAAGCTCTAGAAGCACCTGAGTTTAACTCCCACTGCACACACCACATCTCTGATGACAGGAACAGAAAACAAGAGCAGAAGCCCAGATGGGAAAGAAGATGCTCTGGGCTCCAGACCTGAATCAGACAACCCTAAGACTCTGAAAGAGTTGGTGGAGTGAGGGCGATGACAATCACAATCAAGCTTTTGGTTTTTCCTGAGTTTCGTGTTTTCCAGTGCTGGAGACTGACCCAGGGCCTCAGCTGTGCTACTGAACTTTTCCCCACTGCAAGCAAATTGTCCTTGAATACCTGTATGACTCCTGCACTACTCATGCACTGACTAAATACTCACCTGGGTGTTAGCACCTTTGGCTGGGCATAGGCCATCCTGCAAACAGAAAACACAGTAGTCCAAGATGACAAAAAGTTCAATGAGAAGCATGTCACTAGCAGCCGCGGACCAGGCAAACAGACCTGAAAGTGTGGTGGCAACCAACCTACTGTGTCTGTCCATGATCCTGGGAGCTAAGGATGGGCCAAAGCAAGATCACAGACTTACTTTACATAAGGTAGGGAGAGGAAAGCATGACACCCTCCTTAAGGCTGGGTGAGCTAAGGACTACTTTAATTCACAAGTCACATGAGACTCAACACTTTTGTCCATGGTAGAAGCCTACCAACCTGCCTTGCTCCTCTCCTGGCTGATGTCACAACAGAGTCTCAGCTCTCTATCTGTGTCAGAGACTAGCTCAATACTAAAGTTCCATCAAAAGGTCAAGTCCCAAGGGCCAGGAGCAATCTCTGCTCAGAAGCTACATGCCCTGTGATGGCTTGTAAAGCAGAGATCAGGGCAGGACAGATGCTCAGCAGTAAGAGCACTGGTTACTCTTGCAGAGCAACTGGATTAGGTTCCCAGCACAAACATAGAGACCACCACAGTCTGTAACTGCAGTTCCTAGGTACCCAAATTCCTCTTCTGGCCTCTTTGGGCAAGAATGTAGTGCTCAGACATACATGGAGGCAAAACACTCTCACTCATGAATCAAAAATGAATCTTTCCTTAAGTAAGTGAATGAGTCTTTAAAAAAAAAACCAGGAAATTTCTGCACAGGGATGAGGATTGATAGCACCTTATTGAATGAATCTGGCCAATCACATAAAAGAAACCCCACAGGACCCCAGCCATAGCATGCAATACCACAGAGTGGCCATGCTCAGAGAAACAACACAGAACGGACAAGGTGAGTGCGTGGATCTGCAGCAGGACAGGGCAATGGGAAGTCGGTGTTTGATGGACACAGTTTACAAGATGGAATGTTCTGGAGATGGACGGTGGTGATGGGTGCACCACAGCATGAATGTGCTTACTGCAACTGAACTGTTGCAATGGTGAGGATGGTAAACTCATGTGTTATAAATGTTGCCCTGAGAATGGGGTGCACAGCTATAAACTCAGCTCTGTACCAGATGAGCCAGCCTGGCTCTTTAAAAGCAAATGACATGCAGGTAGTCAACACAAAGTGTAGGGCTCTGTTCTCCACTTCTGGTGCAGGAAGGGACTTCCCAGCTGCCCACACTTACACATACACACACACCCCTCCATCCATACCCCCCACAGTCCATGGCTAGAGAGCATCATATGAGGGCAGGATACCTTGACAGGGCTACAACTTCCCGGACATCCAGCTCTCCATGGGACACGCTGAAGCTACAGAGGACAACACAGTAGACAGGGTTAAACCAGGAGGGTTTAGGGATCAGGTATAGAGCCTGGAGGAAGGGGAGTGGTACCTGAGGGTACAGTGGGTCTGTCACAGTAAAAGAACAGCAACATGGTGGTCACCCCAGGCACTATGCCATCAACATGAAATCAAACACTGTAATGCCATAGATTCTAAGGTCAAACACTGTAGTCAAGGTTCTGCCTCACACTACCAGCCACTCTTGAGTGGAACCTGAGCAAAAGGGAGTTCCAGAACACAGAAGAGTCCAGCCCCCACCCATCAAGAAGTGAAGTCTAGTCTGTCCTTGAAGAGATAAATTGAGGCTACAGTGCCTGGGTGACTTCAAGCCCGGCTTCTCGGAGGCTGGACAACATTTTAATATGTCACTTGCCCAGAACCATCCAGGCAGGCTGAGAGGAAGCCCAGTCGGTCCCAGGGATGGACACTTCAGCTGAGGGCCACCCTCAACCTCCACAAATGTGAGCCATCGGGGAGACCCACCTAGCTCTGCATAGTGACCCCAGGCACCTCTGGAGAGACAGTCATCAAAGGAGTGACTGCCTCCCAACACAAATGAGGGTGGGACAGACAGCTTTGCAGCACTGGAAAACTGACACAAGAGGAACTGGTGGGAACAAAGAGCAGGTGGGAGGCAGTGGAGACTAGTGGGAGGCTCAGCATAGACAAAGACCAAGGCCAGTCCCACTGAAGGGCATGCATGGCTTGTGCAGGAATGCAGAGCTGCAGGCTGCTGGAGAGGGTCAGTGGAAAGGATCCAATTTCAGGAAGCCTCCTACCCTCTGTGCTGAAGTAACTTTTGCTACTGTGAGCAAAGTAGGGATGAGACAGACAGACAAGCATGGGGCTCATGCAAGACCACAGGAGGCTCAGGAAACAGAGCCAAGCCAAGGGATGCCTTCCCAAAAGGCAGGCTGATAGGATCTGCTGACTGGGGGTTGTACAGACCTCCAACTTGGGTCTGGAGAGGTGGGTGGGGAACAGGAAGTGTCCTTAAGGCTGGCAGGTAGGTACAAATGGGAGGATGAGGCTGAAGACAGGAAAGACAAGTGCTTCCCAAAAAACCCTTTAAAGAGCAGGGGGCAGCTGGGGCTGCTCTGAGAAGCCTAGAGAAGGACTGGACCCATTCATGTAGAGGCACGGGCAGAGACTACAAGGCAACATTCAACAGGAAGTTCACTCATCCAGTAACACACACACACACACACACACACACACACACACACTCACCTAGTCATAGCTCCAGAGTCTCTCAATTCCTTCTGGCTTCTGTGGCTCACGAACCCATAGCTGTGGAAAGGACATGGAGACTGGCTGTCTGTGCCTCCTCCAGAATGCACCACTGTATCCAGCAGAGTGAGCACAGAAGCTCCCAGAGGGGATGCAGGGCCACATGACAGGAATAACCATGCCTACCACACTAGAAGAGGTGGTGACAGGAAGGTCCCTGGGGACAAAGCCTGCACTTGGACACCTGTGACAGTTGCAGACAGCCCCTTCTCAATGCCAGATGCCTACACCACAAGGCCACACCAGGGAGTATTCTACAGAAGCCCCAGTAGACATGGCAGTGCCTTTGCCGTATGACGGGTCACAGAACATCTGCACCTAGAGAGAACAGCCTCCAAGCCCTTCCTCTCCTTCCCTATACCCACCACATTGCTAGGGCCAATGCCAAAACCCCTTTTGTGGCATCAAGAGAGGCTTCACTATGGAGACATGCAAAAGCTGGGCATCTGTGTGTGAGGGGCCATCAGCACCCTCATCACTGCCATAGCAGTGGGGATGCTCATGGCTCAGGGTCCCCATCAGGGTCTCATGAGCTGTTCCTCACCAGACTGGATTCTTACCCAAGGAAGACCAAGGCAAGCACTATGAGGGGAAGGATTCCAAGGTGAAGCGAGCAGCATTTTGGTCTCCCTGAAAAACAGGAGCGCAGGATCCAGTTACTCACCCCCTTCCCAGACATGACTCCCCTCCACGCCTCTCCTGAGACTCAGAGGTCATCCTCAGGACTGTGGCTCTGCCCTATCTCAGGCAGCCCCAATCCTTGAGGGAGCTCCAGCCCCACTGAGCAGACAGAGGAAAGAAAGTTATTACTTCCAGCTCATGACTCCCTTGGGCCCTCAAGATCCCCTAGGGTCCCCATGTGATCATGCCACTGAGTACCCCTTCCTGTGGTTGCTGAAATGAAACACAATGAATGCCTTGGGGTCACTGCTGGCCCGTGTATGTAAGCATCCAGGAACCAGCTGGCTCCATCAAGAAGGCTAGGAACAGCTCTCCCCACCCCCCACCCCAGGCCCCTGTATGCTTACATACACGGGGACAGCAATGAGTCTGTTCTAGTGACTTTTCTCATGCTGGGGTTGAAGGCCAGGGCTGAGACAAGTGCTCCATCACTGAGCTATGTCCCTAATACCTCAGATGATTTTCGTGTCTCTGGAAGGTATGTGTTTTCATAATGAAGCCCAAATAGACCTAAAAGACACAGATCTAAATAGACTCACATGTGTGCTCTGGAGAGAGAGCTCAGTGGGTAAAGCGTTTGTCATAGCCACACAAGCATAAGGACCTCAGTTCAGACCCCCAGGGCCTAGGTAAAAGCCAGGCATCTGAAATCCCAGCACACCTGTGATGAGATGGGACATGGAGATGGGAGAATCCCTAGAAGCTCACAGGCCGGTCAGCCAGGCATACAGTGAGGAGCAACAAAAGGAGCACTGTCTCAAACAGGGTGAAAGGCAAGGACTGACACCAGGTGGCCCTGTGACCCTCACATGCACAGCCACACTCACAGGGTGTTTACACAGGTTCACATCTAAAACGGCTTACCCTCCCTGTCCCAGTCCGCTACTTCCCCTTTAAATCACTTGAGCTGGTACTTTGTTTCTTATTTCATTTGCTTATTTATTTGCATGTGTGTGCCTGTGCATGCCACAGGGCACTAGTGGAGGTCAGAGGACAACCTGCAAACACTGATTCTCTTTCCACAATGTGAGTTCCAGGGATTGAGCTCAGGTCATCCAGTTTGGCTGCAAGCGCCTTTATCCACTGAGCCAGCTCATTTTTCACTTCTTAAGTTTTCTCTCCACATCTCCCAATCCTCCACAATGGAGCAACTGATTTCTAAAAGCCTCAGAAACAAAGACAAAGTAACATTTGAACTTCATTTGTCCTTTTTGAGTTCTCCCCCTTTTGGGAGTTAGTAGTATAGCTATAGGGAAATATAACGGAAAGTAATATTTGTGCAATTGTGAAATTATTGTTTGTTGGGGAGTTTCTTCTTGTCCCTCCAGTTCCCTCTGCTGCTTCAGTCCCAAATAAACACACAAAGACCTATTAAATATTAAACTGTTGGCCAATGGCTAGGGCTACCTATTGGGTAGCTCTGTCTTAATTATTAACCCATTTCTATAAATCTATATGTTTCCACATGGTCTTGGCTTACTGGAGAATGCCTGGAGCTGATACTCCTTTGGCAGCTTAAATGGCATCTGCCATATGCCCCCTCTGCCTTCCTTTCCCAGAATTGTCCTCGTCTCCTAGTCCTGCCTGTTTTCCTGCCTCTAATGGCTATTGGCCAGTGTTTTATTCATCAACCAATAAGAGAAACAAATAAACAGAAGGACATTCCCCATGAGTTGCTCCTTTTTAACTTTTTAAAAGCAATTTCTTTGGGCATGAAGAGATGGCTTACCAGGTGAGAATACTGACTGTTCTTCCAGAACATTACCCAGATGACAACTCAAAACCATTATTAACTCCAGTTTCAAGGAATCTAATATGCTCTCTGACTGCTTCAGGCACCAAGCATACAAGTGGTACATGCATACATGGAGGCAAAATGTCCATACACATAAAAATAAATAATTTAAAAAGACAGAACACCTGATGCACTGAAAAGGGAAATTTCAAGATTTTTTAAAGGCAAAAACAGAACGGAATGTACATTTGTCTTTTCTTTTCTTACTTTGTTATTTATTGTGTTTTTGTTTTTTGCTTTGTTTTATTCTTCTCTGTAGCTCTGGCTGACCTGGGACTTGGTCTGTAGATCAGACTAACCTAGAACTTGGAGATCTGCCCACCTCTGCCTTTGAGTGCCACCAACACGCAGCTAAAAAACTTCTTTTAATGTTAATTTCATATCTAATAAAATGTGCCCATTTTATATGCTGCTTGATAAACTTTGAAAAAGTAACACCCCCCCCCTGCTGTGTCTGCTGTGCAGTGGTGGAGGAGGAAAGGGGTTTGTTGGCGTCCAGCCTGGCTGAAAAATTGAGCCTCAGGCTCAGAGAGACCCTGATTCAAAGGCAGCGGTAAAGAGTGATAAACTAGTGTGCCTGATGCCCTCCCCTGGCCTCTGTATGCTCACATCATTTTTTGAAAGCCATTGGCTGAGAGTCTCAGCATGGATGGTGAAGGGGCTGGCAAAGTCCCACTCCTGTCTAAAGAGCTATTGATAACTCTCAGCTGCTGGGAAGGGAAGAGTCTACTTTCTTCAGGAACGCAGCCCCTGAGAAACCACTCATGCTCCAGCAGATGACCCCACACCCAACCACATGCAGGTGGCATTAAGCGGATTCAGTGAGTTTTTAAAAAATCACATGAAATTATGAGGGAAATGTGTGGGGAGGGATAGAAGAGGAGAAGGATATAGAGTAGATTTAATCAAAACCTATGTATGTGTGTATAAAATTCTCAAGAAAATAAAAGTAAATCTAAATAAAACAAAATATATTTTAAAGCCAGCTGGAAAGACGGCTCAGCAGTTCAGAGGATCAGACCTCAATTCCAACACTCCCATTGGTGGCTCACAACCTCCTGTCTCCAAGAATCCCTGCTGATACCACCATTCTCCCCCCAAAACCAGTGTACATACCCACACACAAACATACATACATACATATATACACACACATATATGTATGTATATATATATTCATGCAATTTTAAAATAATAAAATGTTAAAAATGCATAGCTACACATGTGTGCGTCTATCTATGGAGCTGTGGGTCTGGTTTACCCTAACTCCAACCTTCACTGACAGCAGTGGCTATGTAATGCATATTGGGAAGGCAAGTACTCAAACTGTGTTTTTACTTTACTAAGCTGTTCTAGCTTGTTCTGTGACTTTTGGATTTCCATTGAAATTTTAGAATCTGCTGTTTGATTTCTATAAAAAAAAAATCTTCTGGACTTATACTTGGTTTTATGCACACTTCACTGACCAGCTTAGACAGAGAACAGCTTTACAACGTGAGGTCTTTCTGACCATGCATGTGGCAGCTATGTCTTCATTTCTATAAGCAATATTTGACTGTATAGGTTTTAGTATTAATTGGATATTACTGAAAATGATAAATTTTGACATTTAATGGATTCCTAAAAGTACTAAAGTAATAAAACCAATTTAGGCATTGCCTTTGGTTCCTGAAACCTTGTTCAGCTGACTTCACTGCTGAGCCTGTAACATGTAAAGGGAAAAGTCAGGAAAAAGAAGGACAAAGGATCAGAAGAAAGTGAGGCCACAGCTCAGAAATGGAAAATAGCAGTCAGGAACCTAAAGAAAAAAATCCCAAAAAGGAAACAGTGGGTGCTTGTTTTAATTTAAGACTAGAGGGATATCTATTTTCCTAATATGTCCTAATAAATTGAAAATAAACTGATTTGAAAAGTACTAATAGCACAGATTCACATATATAATTAAAACATTCATGACACTAAGATCATAAATAAAGATTTAAGGTAACATTAGTGAGGAAAGTACAAATGGATGCACACAACTAAAAAAAAAATGGATATGGATGGCTATATCCAAGTTAAAAGGCCAAAAATGGAACAAGACTTGGAATCAAGAAAACAAAATTCTCCAAAAAACATATAAGCTCCAGTCTGATGGCACTACAAACAGAAAATGGAGAAAATTAAGCCCCAAGTGAGTAATATAACATGGCCCCAGACCTCACCACAACCAAATCCACTGAACCATTCACACTGTAAAACTCAGCACACACCACTTGCCAAAACTGAAATAAAGACATGATCCATCAAATTCCATAGATGTGGGAAAGTCTCTAAATGTAGTAACCTTGATTTTTGTCCCTGTAGTTCTGCTTCTGGCTAAATGGTCTTGTAAACTGAAGTATGTCATCCCAGAACATGGTTTTTGTGCTTAAACACTCACCCTGAGGAAGGCTCAGTGCTACACTGGAATCCACAACAACCAGTGTAGTTGCTGGCCAGCTAATAAAGATTTTATTAGGTTATACCAATGTCTTAGCTGTCTTTCTCTGGTGATTACTTCACAACAGTATGTATATGGATGTACAAATGCATGCCTGATACCCCAGGAAGATCAGAGTGATTCAGGTCCTTTGGGATTAAAGCAACAAGTGCTTGTTAGGCGCCATTGGGGTTTCTGGAAATAAAACCAGGTCCTTTACAAGAGCAACAAGTGCTCTTAACCACTGAGACAACTCTCTGGCTCCTAGCCATTTCTTTTGATCCTTGTGATTTCTTTTCTATTTTACCTCATATTAAGTTGTTTGCCTTTGTTTGGGAGGTTTATCTGTCTGTTTGTCTGTCTGTTTTGTATGGTGGCTAGGGGTGTTACTGCCATGTGTGTGTTTGAAGCACATGCATGCCTATTGCCCAAAGAGAACACAAAAGGATGTCAGATCCTCTGAAGCTGTGGTTAGAGAACCATGTGGTTGGTGCTGGGTATTGAATCCAGATCCTCGGGAAGTAGCCAATGCTCTTAGCCACTTGACCATTTGCCTGCTCTCTCCGCCACACACACACACACACACACACACACACACACACACACACACACACACAAACCAAAATTGATGAAATACAAAAGGGATATGTAGTAGTTTGAAAATAATTGGCCCCCGTATTCTCATAGGGAGAG